CAAGAATGTTATATTAAATGATGTATTTTGTGGAAAAAAAAAAAAAAAAAAGAAATTTGTTCTTGAGGTCAGAGGTGCCTCATATAACACCAGGGAGACTACTCATGTGGCCGATGATGAAAAGAGACACAGACAAACTTCTTATTTTTTAGCTGTTTGGAAAAGACTTATTGCTCAGGTAGGAGTAGCCAGAAAACCTCAAAAAAGAGCTCGAAGGGGCCCAGAAGCAGAATCAGATGGACATGAAGTGCAGAGTTCTCAGAAAGTTCAAGAGAAAAACACTCGCTGGGCATATGTAGGCCTCTTTCTTTAGAAAACTCAGCAAGACTCATGTATTGAATGAATTAATAACCTCGATTTCAACCATTTGTATATACATGGACTGTAGGTGTGTAGATGTAACTGCCTACGTGTGCATTTAGTATTACGCATATATGTATATTTACATATAAATATAGTGATGCATTTACATAAAGGCATCCATTTGGCATACATACCTATGCATATGCAGTATAAGGCTGGATTATTCCCCTGCCACACACAAAGATTTTGCTGTCCAAAGACTCAGTGCAATGAATGGCATGGAAGGGGTTCTATTTTCAAGGGCGAAGCAATAGAGAAATACTGACAGCATCGGATAACCCGTGATGGGGATCCCATGAAAGCCACCGGGGACAGTGCCATTAACCTTGTCACTCCTGCCATAGACAGGGGACTTCAAAGAAACACTGAAACCCTTTCTCCAGAAATAATCAGGAAGGATCTTATTTTCTTCTTTGAGGTCAGCACATTCTGCTTTTCAAAATCAAATCCACAGCAGTTTATTAGTAATGTCCCACATGTACTGCCTCAAGCTGGCAGCTGTGGAAGCTAAAGAAGCAAAAGACCTGATTCTTGACCTCGGAAAATTTAGTTTAGTTGTGGAGGTAAGACAGGGACACGGAATATCACGTGGCAATTGAAAGTGTAAATATTATAGATTTAAGTATTAGTGAAGAGAGTGGTAAAGAGCTCATTCTGGAGTAGAGGGGTCAGTGAAAAGTAATTGTTTACGCAGTAATGAGAAGATCTCTGTGAAAAAAGTCTAAGACTGCACACTTAGGACTGCTGGGAGATAGACAGATAGACTTATATATAGATACGAATCTTCATCGTCCTCAGACATCTGCCACTTTGTTTCTTTAGGTTGTAGGGCTTGCATGAGGAAGGCTGTATAATAGATAACACTAAAAATGTTTGAGCCTTAGACCCAGTGAGTGACGAAGGGTGTCATTATTTAATATTCTCCTGACATTCACCTGCCCCTTCTGCATCTGTGGCTGTGACTGAGGACTTGGTTCTTTATGTCACCCAGGGTTCATGAGGATTCTCTGGAGAAATTTCTTGCTCGTCTCAGTATCAAGAAAGGGGGATCTTCTCTTGAGCAATTTTGTTTTTGGTCTTGCATGTGATAGGAATTGCACTTTAGACAAGGCCTCTCTTTAAACTTGACTGCTAGAAATGCAGGAGACAAATTTTGGTCCTACTTTAGCAAGGGTATTGGACTCTATGAGATGCATTTATTTCAAATGATGTTCATTTTTGGCTCCATCTTCTGTGCCTTATTTTTCATTTCACACACTTCTTTTTGTAGGTTATGTGCTCTTGTAAGCTATCTTGAATTCTGTTTTAAGGACAAGGTAGCATAAAAATACAAGGAAATATATAAATGAAATAGAGGAAGGCTTTAAGGTCCAGAACACTATGGCCGGGAAGACAACTATGACTGTGGCTAGAGTTATGGTCTGTGGCCGTGATAATGAGTGTGTTATTAGGGCAGGGCAGCAGTGATCACAGGGAGTCAGACAGACCTCAGTCCAAGTCAGAGCTCTCTCTGCTGTTTATTACTTGTATGATCTGAGGCATATTATTCTCTAAACCTTCATTTTGTCATCTTTACAACAGTGATCTCTTTGTATCAGGGAGGATGGATTAAATGAGGTAATGTATAGAAAGCACTTAGCACAACCGCACTCCATCATTAGCAATTGAGATCATCAGCACTATCACCTGGACAAGCAGCGGGTGGGCCGCCCCTCTTGGCCAGGTCTTCTGCGCGCACTGACGTTGTAAGAAAGCTGTCCCCACGTCTCCCACACCCACCGACGCCAGGCGGCCGCGTCTGGGCCCGATACGGATCACGCCTGCGGAGCGCACCTCCACATGGGCAGCCCTCGTCCAGGGCGCAGGGCACATGTCTACGGCCCAGTCCTGCAGACGGCTACCAAGAGACCCCAATGCGCAGGTCAAGGCAACTTCACAACTGTCTTTCCGTTCCTTTCCCCTGCCGGACTCCGCGCTCTGATATATACAGGAGAGGCCCGCGAGGGGACAAGGCGTCCGCACTGCAATGCTCCGAGCAGCGGCCGCAGGCAGCGGGGTGGAGGCTGCGGGTTGGCTGCGGGAAAGGGGGTCCCATGGGAGCCGCTAGGCGCAGCCCGTTTCCCGACCTCAGGTGGAGGTCGCCGGGCACAGCTGCCCTGCAAGGCGCGGGTGTGGTAGCCGGGAGCCCGCTCCTCTCCCTGAGACTTAACCCTTTGGCCAAGAGAGGTCGACGGCGGGCAGGGTGAGAGAACCGCGGAAGGCGCAGGGCCCGGGCACCCGCGGAGAGGGAGCAGGTTTCGGGGAAGAGCGGCGGGGCGCCGCACGTTTCCTGCAGCCGCCAGCATCAGCGTGTCAGGTGGTTGCCGGGCGGGTGTGAGCGCGCGCGCGAGGCAGAGGGGGCGCGCTCGCACAAAGTTTGTGCCTGCGGTGCGCCTCGGTCGGGCTCGCCGGGCTCGAGGGCGGGCGGGCGGCCGGGGCTACGAGGCAGTGGGGGACAGGGCCGGCAGAAGGTGGCGGTGGCGGTGGCGGCGGCGGGGGCGATGCGCCGCGCCCCGCCGCGCTAGGTGAGCCGGCTTCGGCAGCGCAGGCCGCGGCCATGGGCACCCTGGGCAAGGCGAGAGAGGCTCCGCGGTGAGTAGAGGCGGCCGTGGCCCTCGGGAGCGCCTGTGTCCTTACTTGGGAAAGAGTCCCCTGCCCGCCGCCCCAACGCCCCGAGGGAAGTTGAGGGCGGAGGGGGGCCAGGGTCGGCCGGAGTCCCGGGACACCAGAGCGACGGGCGGACGTGTCTAGAGCGCACGGCGCGCTGCGCCCGGGGCTTCGGGGAGGGAGCTGGGGCTGAGGGACGGTGGAGGGGCGGCCGTGAGGCCAGAGCTCGCCCGGCGAGATCTGCTAGGGCCGATGCTCTTCGCGGAGCCGGCGCCCTCCCGCCGACCTCCTCCCCCACATCTCCCCGCCCGGCATCGGGACTCCCACTCGCGGACTTTCCGCGCCGCCCGCACCTGCTGGGGCGCGGGGCTCCGGCTGCGCCACCTGGCGGCCCCACCCGGCCCTGCCCAGAACGGCCGAGGGAGCTTGCAGGGAGCCCGCAGAGGTGGCACCGCTTGTTCGCCCCTGCCCCACGGAAGTTTCCAGATCCGTGGGTCAGCGAAACATATGGCCTTCCGGATGGGAAGCTGCACTCCTCTCCCCCTCACTATGATTCTGTAGAGGGTCTTGGATAATAGAAGTTGAAGAAAGAGGGACAGTGAGTGAAAGGACTCTTGACCAGGCAGCTTTGAGTTTGTAGCCAGAGGACCAGAACTGGGCAACAGCATGAACAACGGCCTGGCCTCGGCGTAGGGCTAGACAAATTGTGCACTTCACAACTCCATATGGGACTGTGCCTTGCACCACCATACCCAGTAGCGGCAGGAAGCTTGCGATGCTGGGCTTCCCGTGCTTATAATCCCAGGAACGGAGGGTTCTTGGCCCTGTATGCACGCCCTGCCTCTCCCCATCCGGGTGTCCGCTGAGGGTCCACCACTGTACTTTGCACTAGATTCAGAAGGAGGAGTTCAGTACATTAAATTGAGTATTATAAGGGGGAGAGGATGGGACTGGAAGGAATCCACACTAGAAGTCAAGAGAGTCACCTTCCACTGCAAAGAAAGTTGTGGAAGTTCCAGTTCCCTTACTCCATTTCATCCCTTACTTTTCTAGGCTGGATTTCATACAAAGCTCAGCCTGAAACTGATCTCCACTGAGATACCTATGCCTGGAGAGGATTTCACCTAAACCAGTTTAGAGTTTTGACGGTCTCCTTCAGCAAACCTATGGGACTTTGGTCACTTTTAGGCTCAGAAAACACCTTCAAGTTAATTCGTTTCTCTCGGGGTTTTGTTTTTTTCATTTACAAGAAAACATTTGGCCACTGTTTTTCTTTTTTTAAATATGCCTTTACAGACTCAGAGGCCATTCATTCTATGGATTGTTAAAACACCCTTTGACCTGCCTATAATAAAGCATTTTATAAATCCTTGTCTACCCCCATTTCACCAGAAAAGGCAGAACGATTTGAGGATTTCTCACAAGGCAACCAGTTAAGAGACTGTACAGCAAGAAAGCCAGGTTTCCTAGTCTACCGTGCAAATAATTCCTATCTTGTTAGAACTCTTAGGCTGCACTTTGACTTTTAATACTTTCTCTTCTCCCTGTTTTCTCATGCTGTAGCCCTCTGAGTCTCTCTGGGCTCCATGCTTCCCAGATTGCTTTTGGCACCCTCTCTTCCCTTTTACTACCCTATACTTTACCCTGATCCCTCCTGGTTCTGGTAAAAGCATCAACCTTCAAGAATCCCTTTATGAAACAAAGTGGCTTCTGTTACTGGTGACACTGGGAAACATTACCAGAATTAGAAAACAGGGCAGGATTAGGAGGCTTGAATGGTCAATGTCACCAACCAAGAAAGAAAACGGAATTTTCCTTGGATCTGTAGCCACCTCCCCTCCACCCCTAGCAGGAAGAGCTCTGTGTGTAGATAGAGCCTCTAGTTGTAGTCACCTCTTCTCCAAGGTCTAGGGAGAAGTATTGTGGAAAGCCTGAGAGAAGGAGACTTCTATAATGAATGACTTTTTTTTTTTTTTTTTTAATCTTACCCCTACTCGGCCTTTGGTGGAGGTCTTAATGGTGACAAAGGCAGCAGCTGGGCCAGAAAGCTGAGTAATCCCGGCAGTGGCTATGTAGCCCAGGTGTAGAGAGCTGTTAGTGCTTTCAGGAAGGGAAGGGAGCCCACCTGGGGCGCAAGGCATGGGCCACAAGGGGCTGGCTGCTAGCCTGTCTCTGCAGTCGTGGCCAGGCACGTTGCTCTTCCGATTCTGGACCTCCACACCTACAGAAGAGGGGTTTGGAAAATGACCATAAAGAGTCTGTCCAGCTCTAGGGACCTGGGGACAGTTCTGAGGGCCTGCAAAAGGAATATGGACTGAGATTCAGCCTTTACAGTATCAGCTATGGTTTTGAAGGATTTTACTTTCATTTTAAATTGAATTGACCTTTTCAGCCTCTCTGTGATGGTCTAGTACTAATCCTCATGTTGTGAAATGTGCGGAGTTCCAAGCACAGTAAATATTTATTAAATGAATAAAGCCAGAGAGGTGCTGGGTACAAATCTCAGGTTTATTATATATGAGTTTTATAAACTTGGCTATGTCATTTACCCTTTTTAAGATTCGGTTTCAGCATCATGAGATGGGGATAACATCCTTCTGGGCTGTAAGCCTCAAGACAGGGTCAGTCCCCAGCACAGTACCTGCCATAGCATAGGTACTCAATTCATGTCGCCATTATTATTTTGTTTTTAGAGACTGATCCAATTATGCAGTTATCACAGGGCCTGTTTGAAAATCAGTTATGGTGAGAAACTTGAGTCCTGTACCACCGACTTGATCTTTCAGGAATTACTGCCTAGGGTTAGCAGATGCCCAATAACCAATTGTTGATTCAATTTCACTGGACCTGCACCAGGTCAGAATAGAACTGAGCAGCCACTGCAGACCAGCACCCTGGAGCTAGTTTGAAACAACCTGAAGGGCCAGGGTGCCCCTGCACAGGTCTAGCTGTGTACTGAGTGGCCCCATAGTTCAGTTACACACCATCTCTTAGCAGTCTGGTTTCCCAAAACCCACATGTGCCTAGCATTTTGTTTTGATCTGAGCACTTCCTCAGCCCCTTTGGTTGAGATTATATCCTGTCAGAGCAGCTTTCCCAGACACTCTCCCTCAAACTGCCTCTTTCTCCTCTGAGAACATCATGCTTCTTACTCTTGACACTCAGAACACTTATTTAACATTTATATGGCTTTCTTTTCATTATCTCAGTCTGATTCCTCAGCTGTATTTTTGTATTAAGGAACTTCTAGACTACTGTTATGTAACAACAGCAACTAGTATGTAATGAGTATATAAAGTACCCTCACCTAGACTATCTCTGTGGTCTTCTCTGGCCAATCACAATGCCTTACTCATAGAATAAGCACTTAGAGATTAATTGATGCCATTATACATTTATCATAATATGTAGTGAGTAAAGTTACACTTCTGAGATACGTTGTTTTCCTTTTTCTCTTTGCTGCTTTGGTAGTAAACTACAAAATAACCAAAGCCACAGTAGAGAGAGGAGAATTAACTAAATGCTTAGAAGAGTTGCCAGCAACACTCATCACTATTAAACCAAAAAAGATTACAGATATGGATCTGTGTGTGTATGTGTATTTTTTAATGGAGAGGACAGTAAACTTCCCAAATCATTTTGCAAAATGACTTATACTGATGAGGTCATGACCAAAGATAGAGCTACGTGTGAGTAGATGAAAGTCCATTGGGACTCTTACGCCATTTCTAGATCCAAACTTGCCCTTTTACATTGAGTTCTGGAACAACGCTCTCACAGCTCTGCTTTCTGTTTTAATCATTAAGGACCCAAGTAAGGATTTGAAAAAATGATGTTTAGTAACAAAAATGACTCATAATGGTTACCTGTATTATCAACCATGAAAAACAAGATCTTAAAACTAAAAGATGTGTAAGAAAGGCAGGACTCACTTAAAATCTAAACACCACCATCATCACCCCTCACTTCCTGCACTTGAGTTCTCAGTCTTTGACTTCTCCCTTAAGGTCCTTAACGATGATTCTGAGGCTGCCTGACCTTGTGTAGCATCTCAGGTGTTGCCGAAGATGAATGAAGTTAGCCAGAGATGATCTCGCACTCCTGACCTCAGGTGATCCACCTGCCTCAGCCTCCCACGGTGCTGGGATTACAGACGTGAGCCACCATGCCTGGCCAAAGTGAGCCAAAGATGAGACCAATGTAAACAATTTTTAAGATTCAAGTCAGTGGCTTAGTAGCTGAAAAAATATATATATTGCTGGGAGCTAAAGACTGTCAAGATAGTCTTGCCTCTGCCCATTCCCCTTCAGGAACTGGGAGACAGTAGGACAGAGCAATCCTAATGCCAGCATGAAGAGCCCTAGTTGCAACCCTGAAATCTCACCTTTGCTGGGGAGATGTCTCTTTAACAGCCAACCAGTCGTTTGGTGCATTTGCCAAGTGGGAGGGGTATGGCTTCTATCAGCCCAACTCCTGAGATTAATTGTCTTATCTCCATTCCCTTCCTCTCCAATCTGCCTTCAGAGCGTGGAGCTGCCAGTTTGTCCCCTCACTGCTTTCTCTCTTTCCTCAGGAAACCTTCCCATGGCTGCAGAGCTGCCCCTAAAGCAAGACTAGAGGCGAAGCCAGCCAACAGCCCCTTCCCCTCCCATCCCAGCTTGGCCCAGATCACCCAGTTCCGAGTGATGGTGTCTCTGGGACATTTAGCCAAAGGAGCCAGCCTGGACGATCTCATTGACAGCTGCATTCAATCTTTTGGTAAGTTGGCTACCTGCCCACTGGCATAAAAATCACTATATTACTTTGTTCTTCCTTTAAAAGTGCTTTACAGAACAGCAATCTAGATTGTATTTTGGCTTTAAAAATAGCTTTTGAGCTTTTGAAATGTTGGAGACAGTCTGCAGAGCCTATGGCACATGACTATGTGGGTGTAATAGGTCGTGATGAGAAGTGCAATTTTAAAGTGAGAAAAGTTACTGAGGAGAGTTTGCATTTCCATTTTTCTCAGGATGGAGGTTTTTCTTGTGATGACAAATATCATAAAAGGATATTGTGCATCTGGTACTTTGAGACTTTTCCGTCCTTGCCTTCTTGGGGCACATAAAGACTATTACATGAGCAAACTTTGTTATCAAACAGAAATTGGAATCATTTGGAGGAATAAAGTCTCAATAATTCCCCTTGCAATCTGGAGGGCAGATGTGATGGAATAGGAAAGGACTGGGTAAAGCCGGGAGGTTTGTGACGAGAAGACATTGGTTAATAAACGTTGCAATGCAGGGTGAAGGGACTGGGAAATAAATGTGGACACACACATTTCAGACGCTGCACTCTGTCAGCACCTTTGCTCACCGTGGGAGAGACACGTTTGTGCAGCCGTCAAGCAATTATCTGAAAAGATGTTTTTTTAAATGTTATAAGCATGATTTATTTTTGGATTTTTATTTGTGAAATAGTGATTGAAAAGTACTAAATATTTCCTCCCAAAACATGATTAAAATTGATGGATTTCAATGAAATCATTGAATTCAAAGATTTCCAGCTTCGTGTTCCCCCTATGGGCCCCTTTTTATATCCCTCCATCTCTCGCGGTGAAGCAGAGTAGCCTGTGTGGCACAGCTCAAACATACCAACCCCGCCAGCCTGCCCTAACCCTGGGAGCCTCCTGGGAAGCTAAGGGAGGCTTAATCAGATCCTAGGCAGCTCGAGATCCATGAGATCTCAGAATGACGGACTAGTGGCTGTGTGTGTTAAGTGCTTGCTCAGACCTTATGTATAGAATTGGGGAAACAGTCGACAGGTTAAGGATATTCATTTAGTACAATTTAGTACAGCATTGAATAGTTTCAGCTATTCCAACATTGGTTTAAAGTAATGGTTCTCAAACATTAGAGTGTCAGAATCACACATGGAGGCTGTTTTTTGTTTTTTTTGGTTTTTTTTAAACACACATTGCTGGGCCCCACCCCCAGAGTTTCTACTCCAGTAGGTCTGGGGTGGGGCACAAGAATTTGCATTTCTAACAAGTTCCCAGGAGATGCTGATGCATCTGGCCCAAGCACCACACTTTGCCAATAGCTGCTTTAAAGTGCTGTTTGTTGTAGACTTTAACTTGGAAAAAAGGAAGGTTTTTTAGTATTACTAGTTTAGCATTAAATTTTCATTAGATTTCTCTTTGTTTTATACTTCAGTCTTATTTTACACTTTAATCTTTCAGTTAAGATGAATTTTTGTGAGCAGAATGAATGGCTTTCTATTTCAAAATAATCTCCTTAGAAAATGTGCTGCAAGGAGATACATGAGAGGACAGTGGAGACCGGGGAGGCACGGCCAATGTGGGGCCATCGTTCATCATGTACTCCACTCGCACTTCCTTCCCAACCCGAATAAACTGCAAAGATCCTTACACCATCTCAGCAGTCAGATTTGCTCGACTTTAGCAGGCCACTGTGACTATTTCCTGAATGAGGATTTTTCTTCTTTCTGTTTCACTATTGAAAAAAGAGGGACCAGAAATGTGTTTATCATGCCATCTTCCTTCCTTCCATGCCTGTGGTGCAACTGCTGGCTTAGTTCAAGACTGTTTTACTAATCTTCAAATAATTCATCAACCTGAAAAATACATGGCTGATTCTGAAGTCCTTACCCCCAAAATAACCAAGCCTAATTCAGTCCCCTTAACAGACCCTCCAAAGGCAGCGGCAATATATCGTGTTCTGGAATATGTTGAACTGAAAAAAGTGGCTTAAAATCCCAAAGCCGTAAAAGTCCCTTTGAGTCTAGTAGTCTTTTGTCCGTTATCAAGTAGCATTAATTAAGTCCTTAGTTGCGTCTGACACTGTGCTAGGCAGTACTCAAGAAGAACTACAGCGACCAAACTCCCCCTTCCATCAGAGCTTACAACACCTGAGAAACATACTGTTCAGGAAACATATATACACACACACACATACAGACAAAGGACAGGGTATATATACACACACATATATACAAAGGACAGGGTGGTAAATACCGAAGGCATGCAGGAAGAGTAAGTTTTTGTACCATGTAGAGTTTGAGTAAGTGCACTTCATGGGTGAGGACGTAGGTCAAGGAGAACGGCCACCATTTGTTGAAGTCCCTCACGGGCCATGGGAATGCTTCGGGAAGTTAGTAAGGTAAGATCTCAAGGTTTTGTGTATTATGTACTGCAGAGGTTCTCATCACAGTACATGAAAGAGGCAAAAAAGAAAAGACGCTCTGTGTCTGGAAGGAACAGAAGCCAGCACCTGTTGTCTGTCTCTCTCCTTGCTCTTTGGTTATCAGTGGACCCATCTATGGGGCTGGGGCATGGAAACTGCGCTGCAGAGGAAATGGAGCCAGGAATCAGCAGCAGACTTTATGACAGAAAAGCCCATAGCAAAATATGTGCCTGTGCTTCCGTAGGTCTCTTTAAGAGGTGATCTGACAATAGTATGGAGTGAGGCTAATGCTTCTCCTGAAGCTTATCTTACTGGTTATTGTCTCAGGTTTGTATAGAAAAGTGTTGCTTTAGGTTAAAGCAATCTAGCTAGCTTTTTGTTAATGAGTTTAGATGTCTTCTCATTTTAAACCCAGGAAAAACTGTACAGAAGTGTGTGTGTGTGGGGGGGATTATTATCGTCATTATTTTTATCATTGCTACTCTTTTGCCTCAGACCCTAATTTCAGGTACTCCACCCAGCAACTTGAATAAAAGAGGGAAAGAAACTTTTAAAGAGAAAGACTGAATAATTGTTTATTTAGTTTCTACTGCCTCTCAACCTCACCTTCTTGCTTTCAGGAGGTTTGAATTGGCTACAGCTGTGCTGTCCAATGCAGTAGCCACATGTGGCTATTTTCATATACATTTCAATTAATTAAAGTTAAATGTAAGATTTCGTTTCTAAGCCTCACCAGCCATAGGTGAAGCGTGCAATAGCCACAAATGGCACCTACTGTTGAACAGAGGAGAGAGCATTTCCATTGTTGCAGAAAGTCAGTTGGATAATGCTGGCGAGGGTAGAAGATGGTTGTCTCAAAGAAAAAAGAATAGATTTTCTGCAAACTGTGGGATTTGCATTTTGCTAGCATTTCTAGATAAGAGTCTGAATATTGCTTAAAGCATCATGGGCATTCAGAAGTCTCACTGATGGCTATCTCTTTAGCATTATTAACCATTAATTACCACCCACACTGTTCTCAGAAGAAGGACTTATATTGCTTTTAAGGGCAGTGGCCAGTACGGGTAAATTAAGAGCACTTTCGAAGGCCTCTAGCAAGCCTCTCAGTGTCACATACAAGGTTAGAGATCTGTGACTAGAAACTTAGGCCTTGAGTCATAGTTCATTGCTTTAACCATGAAACAACCCACTCCCGCCTTCTATTCTAATCAGAGGTCATGCTTTACATTCTCAGCATATTATTACTAGTTAATCCCCTCTTCAGCTGAGCATAATAAGGCGAATCATCACAACCTGGTCACACTTATGTCAAATATATGTGAATCACACCATCTGTTTCAGAGGTAGAAAAGACCTATGAGATCATCCGGGCTTTTACTTTTTTCCCCTTTAGAAGAGGGCTGCCAGCATTTGGGGCCAAATGGAAGGCTTCAAATGTCTGAATTCACAAAGCTCTTTCCTTGTCTCCCTCTCAATGCAAGACAACTTCTGACAGCATCGGAAAGAAAACTGCACACCTGCCTCAGAAAGGGCCACACACACACACCACACACACACACCACACAAAACTCCACCCCAGCAAGCAGACCTCCTACTCCCAGTGAGACGTGGGAAGAAACTCCATATTTCATCTTACCTGTTAGTGTGAAGAGAAATGCTTCCTAATATCTTCTATTTATGGACTGTCTTATTTTTTCTTAGAGTTCCATTTGTATTGATTTTCTTTTATACTGAGAACAGCTCTGAAATAGGTTAGATATTACTCTCTCCATTGAACAAACAGGAAAATAAACCTTTGAGAATTGAAAGAATTTGCCTTGCACCCCCAGTCTCAAGAGAGGATGTGCTGATTCTGTTCTCCTTCCCTTACCCCTAGCAGCCACTTGCAACCTGGGTTGGAGCCAGCCTGGATCTCTCTCCTACTACAGGCCTTCCTACACTCAGGGGAGACCTGCACGCCACATAGGACGGGCCTGCACGCGGTGCCCACCCTTCACAGTCCTGCTGTCTCCCCAATTAGAAATAAAACTCCATTCAATGTGAGAAACATTGATTGGACCCCATCTATATACCAGGTGTCTGCCTGATATTCTCTAGTGAGCAAAGTGAATCAGTGAATTCCTGTGTGAATTATACTAATGCTATCCAAAGACCTTCCAAACTAGAAATATCCCAAAACTAATAGGTATGTTTTCTCCACCATGGAGCAGTTGGATATTAAAAGCATTTTATAAGCCTCAGCTTATTGAAAGTAAAACATTCCATCTGTTTTTAAGATTGGAGCCACAAAAGGCAAACACACACTCAGGGCCATAGCCCTCTCCGTAACAAAGGAAAGATGAGGTATTTCTTACCACTCTGCAACTTGGTCTGTGCACCAAAGCAAGGTGCCCAGAGGGCAGCAGGAGCATAAGACCAGAAGCCAAGGGCCATGACATCATTGGGCATGTAGACCTAACAACAGGCAACACCAAGGAACAAAGTCAGTTGTAGTGTCAGGAAGGGGCAGAAGCTTTAGCCACTGTTGATGACAGGCCCTGTGTGAAGAACAGAGCTCTCCCAGAAGCCTCCTCAATG